GTTGGAGGAGCTTAACAGCATACTGCTAACTAAAGGAATGTGGCAAAGGTGATGTGACATCACTTCTTTGATCAGAGTACAAAGGACTGCTAACCTCCCTCTTGCTGGCATTCTGTGACTGGCCTTCTCTCTCTGCTTCTTGCTATCTCTGATGAAGTAAGCTGTCCTGTTATGTCATGATCCATAAAAAGTCTTCAAGGCAAGGCCCTGATGAAGGCCGGCTGTTTGCAGCTCCTTAGGAACTAAGGTTTTAAGGCAAAGTTGGTAAAGAACTTAATCCTGCCAAAGACCATGGAGGTGAGCCAAGAAGCAGATGACCAGGGAGGAGAGCCAGAGCCAGAGGACACAGCAAAGCCGCACCAGGATTTCAAACTCAAAGATACTATGAAATAATAAATGGAATACATGTTTTAAGCTAGTAAGTTGTAGGGTGATTTGTTATGTGGAAAAAGACATCAAATACACATTTCATTTTGTAAACAAGAAACTGAAGCTTAGGGAGATGAATCAACTTTCCTAAAGTTACAGTTTGTAAATGGCAGAACCAAAATTATTTATGAATATGGCCGGGAGTGGGGGAGTGTTAGACCCAAGAGGGTATTAGTTCAAGTGGTACATACCTTACAGTCCCAATACTTGAGGAGCTAAGGGAGGAGGATTGTCACTAAATTTGAGGACAGACTGGGCTACATAGTGAGAACATGTCTCAAAACAAAGCAAGAAGGGTCTAAGTTTCAATTTACTTTCTTGTAAGGTTCCATGTGGCTGGGGCATGAGAGTTCTCGAAGGCATTCTGCAGGAGAAATCTTTGGAAAATAGCCATGTTTCCAGGAAACTCTCTGCACGCATGTGAACCAGGGATGGACAAAACTTTAAATGGTGCTAAGTACTTTGCTTGGCCTACTCCCTGCTCTAGAAGAATACCTGGTCCACCCAGAGATTTGGTGATAGTAACTAGGGGCCCCTTTTCAATAGCACAATGGTGGCGCTATGAGCTAACACCTCATCCATTTTATAAATAAACACACTATTTTACCTATAACATGCAGATCAGGTAAAAGTGGCACATAATCTTTCTTAAGGATAAAAATGAGTATTTACTAATAAGGCATAGTATGGCATTTAAAAAAAAAATCACCGGCATCTGGAACAAAAAAGCAAATAGTTCTGCCTGTGAGAACAGCCCCTTTTATACACCACCCCCCTTCTCCATCTTATCCACCAGTCTTGATCTTTGGAGCCATGGTGCCCAGTTCCAGCGTGGAAAACAGCTTGGCACTTGCATCTACTAGAAGTTCTTCAGCTTGGGATGGTAAATCCGTCTTTCCCCTTATGTTCAGCCAGAGCACATCTTTATGGAGACATGTGCTTGGCTTGGCTACATAAATCTGTCCTTTGTCAGCTCTGACCTGCTGCCAGAGCAGCAGGCTTTGAACTTGGGGAGAATTCCCAAGAAGATATGGAACAAGAGCACTATAGAGTGCACCTAAGGCACTTTTTCCCTTTAACGAGTGGCAGACGCTGCAATTTATCGGTGCACTTATGTGAGCCGGGTATAAAGTCCACAGGCAGCACAGGGAGGGGCAGGCCTCGAGGCTGGCTCAGCATTCTCCTGGGCTCTCCTCACCTTTTCCTCTCAGGTTCGGTCTCTTGCTTTCTCCTATTCTTTCCTCGCTCTTTCTCCTCCCCAGGTCCCTCTTTTCTTTCTAATTCCTTCAGCTTTGTTAACCTTTACCTTCTGGGATGAGGAAACCTCAGGAAACCACCTCTTATCAGTAATCTTGGCTTGCTTCCAATGGCTGGTGGCAGGTAAAGCTGGCCCTTGTCTGCTCTCAGAGCAACTTACTTCTCTAGCCCATTTGGAATTGGAATTGTGTCTAGAAATGGGGGCAGGAGGACTGAAGAATTCCACAGGCAAGAAACAGAGCTTATCGAAGGTGGGATGTTTGCTCCTTTAGACCAAAAACCAACCAACCAACCAACCAATGAAAATAAAAGCCAAAACAACCCCCCCCACAAAACAACAAAAAACTCAAACAAAAATCAAAAACCAAAAGCAACAACAAAACAAAACCCAAAAATAAATGAAAGAAAAAAAAAAAAAAAGAAATGACAGGAGACTTGAATGTTGCCCTTTGAAACATGTAAGAGGAAGGTAGATAGGTGATGCCATTAGTGCCCATGAAGGCCTGTGGCCCTCAGATATCAAAGTGTTCCACTCAGTTGGTATCTATAAGAGTCACATTTGCCCCCACCGTACCTGCCATCATGGTCTGAACCAAGAGGTTCTGAACAAGATAGCATCTGCACCAACCTCCACGGGTAGCCATACAACACAGAGCTGCAGACAACCAGGCTCCAGGGCTCTTGATTCCTAAGAGGGCGTGTGGGGGCTGGGAGAGCCGGAGAAGTACGCAGAGCAGGGAGGCAAAGCAAGTTGCAGGATTACCTTGTGAGTGTAAAACCAAAGCACAGGATTCGAACAAGAATCTCCTGGGGCTACACAGCTTTGTTAGCCCAACAACCTATTACTTCAAAGTATGTGTCTTAAAGCCTTCCTTCTTTCAAGTTTTCCTCTTCCTGCTGAGTGTATACATTTATTTTAAATTTCCTCTTATTTTACAAAGGGGAACGGTGGAAGCAGTTGGATAGGCGTGGCCGAAAGCACCCAGGACAAAAGCTTGTTTTTAGTGGTTGAGGTAATAAGTGGCTGACCTTTGTGGCAATTATCCACCAACTTTTGTGATAGCAGTCTGAGTTCCTAAACTTAGAGGTCAAGTCCCCTTCGTGAGACTGGCCTAATTCTATGTTCTGTATGGCACCTAGTCACTGTGGCTGTGCAAGAGCCATTATTACCAAAAGTACCATAATAATGGCCATGCCCTCCTGTGACGTTACTGTTTCCTATCTGCTAGGACATTAATTGCCTTCTGACTTGCTCTAAAATTGGTACTATGGCACACCACCAAGGCTGTCGAGGAGGGGGCTGCTGGCATTAAAAGGCTGGGTAAGGGATGCTCGGATGTTGCATCCTCATCAGGCAGCTTCTTATTTGCATATCTACTTCCCATGTTATAAGATGTTAGCTCAGGGCTTCTGTCCTGACTTCTATCTTACTGTGGTCAGTGCGTGGTCTTTTCCTTCAGTGAAATGATTCAGACATCTCTGGAGTTATTTTGGCTTTCGCACTTTCCTTTTAAGGATTTTGTGTGAGTCACTGAATTGAATGGGAGGTTATTTCTAAATTGGAAGGTGAGGATGAGAGAAAAGGGAAGAAGGTTCCAGAAGATAACTGGGCGGGGGGGACCCACTTTATTGTATGTATAGTTACTGGAGGATAATTTCCACTTAGTTTGATGATAGAAACGTGCAGTTTATTTAAGCTCAACTAAAAATATAGGCTAGAAAATAGACAACTCCCCCCAACCCCGACTCCCCACCCCAAATATTAAGCTGCACAGTTTTAGATTCTGGAGCTTGTGCTGCAAAGGGCAGAAGGTTAATAAACAGAAGAGATATGGCACGAGTTACATCAAAAAGGCAGGGGCAAAGTACGGAATGTCCGAAGTCCACTCCTGGATCCACAGGAAGGCCTTTTACTCCTAGACCTAGTGTTTGAGAGCACAGACCTCCTTAAAAATCTATTACCACAGCTTTGCATATTCCAGGTGGACTTGTAGAAAAGGTATATTTAAATTTGACTTAGAAACTGAAAGAGTAATCGGGCCGGCATTTTCTTATTTAGGAGCAGGAAGAGCGCTGGAGATGAAAAAGAGAAGCAGAGAAAGCTAATGATGAATGCGTTTCTAAGAGCAGAGAGTTTTTATAGCAACACCAGATTTCTCAAAAATGCCTACTGGGATTTGTACCCAAATGAATAAGAAATGCAATCATTTATTCTCGTGTATTGTACCAAGTGATGGGGGAAAAAAAACCGCGATTCATTCAATGGTTCTAATTTAGACTGCCAAGAATAGGAGAGGTAGAAAAGAGCGAAAGGAGGAAGAGGGAGGGAGGGAGAGGGAGAGAGTGGGAGAGAGAAGAGAGAGAGAGAGAGAGAGAGAGAGAGAGAGAGAGAGAGAGAGTTTGATTAGTATCTTCCAGACAGCTAGTAATACTGTTTAAGAACTCCTAAACTTAAAAGCCGAGTAGTGTTGGGAAGTGGTAGTGGTGGGGGCGCGTGAAATTCTCATTTCCAAAGTACTATAAGGATAAATTGCTGCTCGTGTTTTCAAAACTTGGTGATGGTTGTTTGGTCACTTGGCAGATCCAGAAAAGTGGGGTCTGGAAGCTGGAAAACTCTTAATACGACAGACACCAATTATAAATATTATTTCTTGACGATATTTATAAATGCAACGGAAGCAGACTGCTGCTTAATAAACAGCTGCGCTCTGCCCTTACCTAAAGCATGGAGACTACCGGAAAGAACTTCAAGGAAACTTGAAGAAAACACGAGGGGAATTTTGATCTGTGAGATACCTCTTTGCTGAGGAATTGGACCGTTCTTAAACACAAACCCCTGAAGTCGATGTGTTTTGCAAGCGTTACCTCCTTAAGCTAGCAGAGATGTTTCCCCTTGTAGGAAGAGAACTAGAAAAGGAAGAGTCTACTGCGCCAGCCCCACAACAAAGAGTTAACCCTTCCCGGTAACCTCGGACGTGAGCGAGCGGCTGCCCCTTCTTCGCTTTCTACTGCGCAACCAAACTGTGCACAGGGCTTGAACCAACCGCGGCCAGCACACTCTTTGCCAGTTAAGGTAACAGACACTATCAGTAGCCTATCATAACTTCGAACTGCCCACTCATCAACCAATTACAACTAAAGCATGATCTAGGCCGGTCCAGGTCCGGGCGGGGGCCGAAGACTCGGTCCAGGAAAAGGGGCGGTAAAGACAGGATGATGGGCAGGAAGAGTCAACCAATCGTAACAGAGAGACGCCGCCCCTCCATCCAATGGATAAGTTGGAAGTGTGGTATGGGGCGGGCCTGTTGTCATGGGGGAGGTGGTGGCGCTTGGTGGCTACTGGCGGCGGAGGTAGAGTCTGAGGCGCCGGAGTTGTGCAGGGCCAGCGGCAGGTGAGTGCGGGCGAGGCGGGCCTGAGGTGCGGAGGCGGTGGCGGGCCGGAAACTCTAGCTTTGCGCTCGGGAGGTGGAGGCCGCGGGCCGGAGGCCGGGGCTGTGGGCCGGGTCGCGTCGGGGTCGGGCGCGGCGAGAGATCGGCCGGGTTCCTGCCGGCAGAGTTCGCGCTGGGAAGGTAGGTTGGCGCGGGACTCCGACGGGGGCAGGCCGGGAGGTCCCCTGGGCTGTCCAGCGGCGGCCCCGGGGACAGCGACGGGAGGCCGGTGTGTGCGCGGCTTCCTGAAGAGACCCGAGCGTCGGGGGTCTGCGAGCGGGGGCGACCCGGAGCGAGCGGGGCCGGAGAGACGAGGGGATACCGGGGGTTCTCGGTGCTCTGAGAGCCGCGGGGGCCGAGAGAACTGGGAGTGGCCCCTGTCGGAGAGAGGTGGGAGGTGGGGAGACCCAGGGCGGCCGGGGTCCGGGATGACAGGGAGCGGAGGAAAGGCACCCAGGACGGGGCGAGCCCCCCTGAGAAGGGCCGCTGTCGCCTAGGAAGGGTCTGCGGGGTGGAGACCTTGAACGAACTCCCCCGGGGAGGGACCGCGGCGCCCTGCCCCCCACAGCGGTCTGGGACTGGAGTCCGGACTGAGGACCCTCAGAGTAAGGGCTTCGAGCCGAGCCGCAGGAGTTGGGATTTGAGTAGGGTAAGGGTTCAGCGGGAAAGTGGAAGTTCCCTTAAGCAAAATGGGATGGAGGTAAGAGGGGAAGAGTAATTTCCCTGGAGGAAGGGAGTTCGAGAGAGCTGGGGAAACTTGCCCGGGAGTGGGTGAGTGGTCTTGTGGAAGCTGGCCAGGCCAGTGGATACGAGAATTTAACAATGGTGTTTGTGAGGGTTTCCCGAAAACAGGAGAAACTAATTATTACTAAAATGCCAAGCTGAACCAGAGACTCCGTCCTTAAAAGCAAGGTTACAGCGTCTTGGAGGCTAAGGGCTTTAGAAATGAGTTTTAGGATGACAGCGAAAATACTGGAGAAAATAAGGACATCAACAGGATGGGGAATTTGAGAGGAAAAGGGGAGGAGTAGCAGAACTAAAGGAGTGAAACTGTGATCAGATAGAGGGTATTCATGAAGCGGATAGGCATGTCCTGCTAAATTGAAAATAACTTGGAATTTTTGTACTATCACTTATCTGGTAATACTAACAACTTTTGCTTAAAGGGATTTAAATTGTATTTTTTTTTTATTCATTCATACATTTTTGAGAAAGTCTTGCTCTGAAGCCCTGGCTGGTTTTTGTTTAGACCAAGCTCTCCTTGAACTCACAGAGATGCCTCTGCCTCTGTCTCCTGAGTGCTGCAATTACAGGTATTTCAAAAAGATTTTTTTTTTATGTGTTTATAGAATTTTTAGCGTGGTGACTGGTGCAGAACGCAGTACTGGTTTGTTACATAGAAAGATCCAAGATTGGAAACGCCTTCGTACAGATTGGTTGGCTCCACCTGAGGTTTCAGATCCAGAAGGTCTAGGGGTGGGGTTCAAGAATTTAGCCCAAGCAATGCTTAGTATTCTTCAAGGGATCATATTCTGAGAACAACTTCCCTTAATGAAAAAAAGGGGCAATAAATATACCTTAAAATACTGGAATACCTGCCCATCTTGCTGAAGAGATTGGGGGGGGAGAACACATCTTATTATAAAGGGTACTCCCCCACCCCCCAGTACTGTGGATGATACTAAATATCTCACATCTGCTAGTCATGGGCTCTATCAAAAAGTGCTACTCCCTTAACTGAAGATTATGTTTTTTTTGAGATCTTAAAAAACTGAATTATTGAAAGTAAAACAGAATACACTAGCCTTGCACTTGAAGAAGAAAAATCTTGTCTAGGGAAACTTCTTATATACATATTTTAAGTCGCAATGTAAAATCTGTGTCTTACAGTCAGAAAATTTTGACAGACTCTTTTGAATCACACAGTATGGCAGAAGCAATATTAAGGGATTAAGTTATTTATTTTGCAGTAGTTCTCAGGTGGTGATATGGCAGTTTGACATTACTGTGAATTGCATTGAGCCTCTGATCCTGGGGACCTTTTTTGGATCCTGAGAACCTGGCATGCACACTCAGGGAACACGAGGCAGAGAAACGCTGGTGCTCCTCAGACGGCCTGCTGTTCCTTCGTTTGTGCCCTCATGTTACCCCGTTCTCCTTCCACTGAAAAAGACATAATAACATTGATCAGCTAACTCAGAATCCAACTGGCTTAGAATATTTCATGTATGAAGGATAAACAAGCACAAAAGTAAACATTGCAAGAGAGAAAAATGAGAGGATAGCTTATTCTCAGAGGCTAATCTCAGCACTCTGACATCTGAGGAAGGAGGATCGTTGGAAGGTAGTGGCCAGCCTGGGCTAGAGAAGGAGACCGACCAATCGTTAAAAACAAAGCCAAGGAGGGAGAGAGGAGAGAGAAGTACTGACGGGGTCGAGGCTTAGCTGTGAAGGTTGTGAAGGAGTTTTTGTTTTGTGGATTGTGTTTTCCTGAGAGTGAAATGGGTTTGGTATTATATCTTGTATACTTAACTTGTCTCAAGAAACTAAATGTGATTTACAGTATGTATTTAAAGTTGTAGTTAAATGGTATATGAATGTTTTGTCTTATTCTTGGATAAGTTTTTTTTTTTTTTTTTTTATTGAAAACCAGATGGCTGCCAGGCATGATGGTGCACAATTACAATTTAGATACTTGGGAGGATGAGGCAGGAGGATTGATGTTGATTAGAGGCTAGCCTGGGTTACACTGCAAGCCCTCCTTTCTCCTTTCTTCCCTCTTTCCTTCTCTCCCTCCTTCCCTCCTTCTCTATCTCTCTTTTTCTCTCTCTCTTTCTCTTTCTCTTTCTCTCTCCCCCCCCTTCTCTGTTTTTTTGTTTGTATGTTTTTTGTCTTTTTGAGACAAGGTTTCTCTATGTATCCCTGGCTGTCCTGGAACTGGCTCTATAGACCAGGAACTTAAGAGATGACTTACCTGCCTCTGCCTCCTGAGTGCTGGGAGTGAAGGGGTATGCCAGCACTCTTGGTGAAGACCTTTTCTCAAACAGTGACAGTAACAACACACAAAACAAAACTGAAAACTAGATGGCTTATTTTAAACTAGATGGAATTAATTTAGATGTTTCTATGGATATGAGAATAAAGAAAACAGTACTGAAAACTGAAAAAGACAATCCTTGCAGGTCTCTTTAAAAATCTTTAATCTAGGGGATTATGTAACCTTTCATTAATGTTTTATGAAATTGTGAAGAAATATTGCTACAGCTTTGCATCAATACTTTTTAGTTTTTCCCCTTTTTAATTCTATTTCAGATCATTCCAAATTAAACAAAATGTTGATTCCAAAATAAAATTCTAAGTGAGAGGCCAAAAACCGTATCATTTTATGTTTGATTTCAAAAATAGTCTTCACTATTTGAGGGTTGGGTTGGGGTAGATGAAATTTCCAAAAATGTAAACTTTCAGTTTTTTTTTTTACATTGAGCTAAGTGCAGTATTCTTATCACTAGTGTGATTGCACTTCATATCTTTGTATGTATATATATCACTAAGGGATGGAAGAATTAAAATCTTAAGTATGGAGAGAAATACAAAAATTCATTCTTTACAACGTTGGACATTGGGCAATTAGATTACTTGCTTTAATAGCTGGACTTTATTCAGTTAACATATTATTCACCCATAATTTAATCATACTTATCTATGAATAGCTTTGATTGCTCAACTCATTTTACAATGAAATTCATTAATCTGTAGTTGAATAAATGATAGATTTTTGAATCCCAAAGAAACCTTTCCCAACTGGACTTGAGACTCACTTGCACTTATCAAGGTTTATTTAGATAAGTGATTTTAAAATGAAACTTTAATTAGTAATAGTTAATTTATCTTATTTTCTATTTTAGGGAGGTCTCTCTTTCTGTTCTAATAGCCTCTGTTCAGTCTTTTCTGCCTCCTGTCCTCAGCTGCTCATAGAGTAATCGTTGGAAATGTCAGTGCCTGGGAATCCAGCCTGTAAAAGCACAAGTTCCCGCTCTCTGTGTGGTTTTTGCTTTACTTAAAGAATTCCTTTATCAGAAAAGATCCCGTAGTAAACTCACCACCTTTTTGAAAAGTACTTTATTCAATAAAAAGCTCTACTTTTTTTTAAAACTTTGGTGTTACCATAAATCCTTTAGTTGCAAAGAAATTGTGGTTTTATAACATACTGTGAATTTTATCATTAGATGTAGAAATACTGTACAAGGTTTTAGGATACATATTCAGAAGTAAGACACGACTAAAGGGAACTTTTGGAGAATTCAAACTATGTACTTTGAAATCTTGATGCAAAAGGAGGCTTGAAACTAAGGGAGAATGAGAATCCTGACATGCTTAAGGAAGAGCTGGAGGGTCTGCAGGAAATGTGGCGAGAGGAGTGAGCTGTTGGCAGCTTTCCTGCAGTGACATATGTAAAGGAGGACGGTCCTGTTTGCGACTTTCTGGACTTATTCTTAGATCTCTACATTTCCTGCTGCTTCCCATAACTCTGTGCTTTCTCCCACTCAGGAAATAATGCTAGAATGCAAGTAAATGGACTGACACTTCTGAGTCCTGCAGGATGAGGAAGGGCAGGACTGTGTAGGCTACTGCTTTCCTCAGCCCTAGTGCTGGTGATCTGAGCCAGGACCTTAGAGTGAGCTATAGCCTTGCCTCAGCCCTGTGGATTTATAAGAAATCTCAGCATTAACCAAGGAGCTGTTGTGTTAGCCATTAAAGTTCGGTGACTAAAAGCTCAGTTTCTTTCCATTTATTTTGTATTTTTAAATTAGGCATGTATTTTTAAATTACATGTGTGCATACACACACACATGCACACACACACTCACACACACAAACTCATTTGTCAGACTTGGCAACAAGTTCCTTACTGGCTGAGCCATCTCATTGGTTGTTTTGTTTTTTGCAGTACTGGGGATCAAAA